ATTGGAACCCATTGGTTCTTTGCCTGTCTTCCAAATCACGGTTAAGAGTTTGAGCATCCATATTCCCTGTGATAATCGCAAACACAACCTTCTTTGCATGATTTCCTTCCTTGGACCTTTTGCTGAGCATTTTTAAACCTCATGGGATCATGGACCGTTATTCAAAGTTGCCTTTTCAATGTGGGCTCCCATCTTTTCTTGTGTTATGGCTGGCAAGCTGGAGGTCTCTAGAATAGTAATGTATTAATGGACAAATTTTACATCAGACAGACTGGAGAGTGGAAACGGAATACTTTCTCACTTAACAGTGCATTCTCTGATGCACAGTTAGACCTTACATGTGAATGCGCACAGAGAGGACCAAGTGGTGTCAGCACCAGGTTGCCTCTCCTAATGTCTCATTTGCACTCCGGGTGAGCAGGCTCACTCATGCCATAAGCCCACACTAAATAAAAAGGCAGGTGGATTCTATAGGCAAGGCCCGCCCAGGTATACTTTGACCAGCATAGACTGGCTGATGCTGGGCTGAGCATCCCACTGGTGGAGTCGGAGAACATGTGATTGACATTTGCAATTCAGTGAATAGCTGCACAACACCTCCTGTTTGGGAGTGCTAGGAGCCCCCCATCTGGAAGTGGCTGTGGGGCTGGCCATATATGGGGCTGATGTTCTAATCAGCCACCTGGGTTTGCACTCCAGCAGAGGCAGAAGAGGAGGCAGCTCTCCTTGAGCTGTGTCAGCACAAGACCAACAGAGGCCAGCAGCTGCTTTGAAAGCCGTATGGCATAAGGGCAAGCCATATGAGGAGAGACTGAGGGAGCTGTGTCTTTGCAGCCTGGAGAAGAGGGGACCTGCTAGCGACAAATAGGTATGTGAGGGGGTGTCACACAGAGGTGGGTCGTGACCCTTTTTCTCCTGTGGAGGAGGGCAGACTGAGCCATCTAGTCTGACCCCCGGCTCCAGCCGGCTCTGCTCACAACATGCCCACCATGTGCATGTCCAGCCTATCCTTGAACACCCTCACGGATGGGGCCTCAACCACCTCCCGTGGAAGCCCATTCCATACCCTCAGGGTCCTAACTGTCGGGAAGTACTTCTGATACCTGGCAAGAAACGTCATAATTCGTATGAAGGGATTAGAGTTGCTGTTGTCTTTCCTCTTTCTTCAAAGTACAGGACATTTGCTGTCTTAGGGCCAAGTCATTCCCTGGCTGGGGGATGGAGCCAAGGCACTAGCCTAAAGGAAGCAGGACACAGAAAATGGCAGCTCAGTAATGCTGAGAGCTAATCTAGCCTGACTGCCCAGGAAGACAAGGCCTAAGCCTGACCCAGAGGTATTTGCAGTCAGTCGAATGGCTTGAGCTTAGATACGACCCTGGTCCCAATGCATGTAGGTGCTCAGTTGGATGTGGTTGCAGGCAGGCAGTGTGCATAGATGGCTATGGCTAATGCTATTTTATTGTCTTTGTCTTTTGTTATATTTATATCACCCCCTTTGCTGTAAGCAATCCAAGGCAGCTTCTATAACCTTCCCTCTCCTCTACATTTTATCTTCACAACAACTCTGTGAGGCAGGTTAGCTTGAGAATCAATGGGTGGCCCAGAGTTCCCCAGTAAACTTCATGGCTGAGTGGGGACAAAAACCAGATCTTCCAAATCTCACTCTTGCACTCCAACCTCTGTGGAGTATTGGCACCAATCTGGAAGTCTAGCACTGAGCTAGCATTCACTTCAGTACCAGAAATGCAAGATGCATGATGCATGAATCTTTCTTTCTTCTGTGGATGGAGCCTGGAAAAAGCTGTTCTGTTTTATTTTCCCTCTCTTCTGCTACCTCTCACCACAGAGATCACTTACATGCACACGAGGGGAATCCACACTTAAATATCAGCTGTTCCTTGCAGTGTTTGCTGATCTGGGTGAATCTGTCAGCTTCGGTTTTGCTCAGTATCCTATTTTCCCAACTATATCTTACATATGGTCTGTTTCTGCATCAGTTTGCAATTTCAGGCTGGAAAATGTATGAGAAAAAGATTGTGCATTCTTTGTACAAACATTTCTAGCATGCATAACTGTTTTTGCAAGCAGTCCCCCCCCCTAATATAATGGTGTCTTCATGAGCATTTCCACCCAGTATACACATTTTCTATGTACACTTGCCTTAATAAGCACAATCGTGTGGTTATTTTGTAGTTTCAAACTGTATCACAGTTGGGTATGTTCAAATAAAAGGCCAGGCAAACAAATTCCTCCATTGGTGGTGTATGAGTCCATCCCTGGCTACATAAAATGCTCTTCCTACATACTTATTAATTTCTGTGCCACCCAACAGCCAAAGCTCTCAAGGCGGTTCACAGCAGCACATTAAGCCCCTTTGCTCACAGAGTGTCCCTGTCAGTCCATACCTTTGCACACTGTGACCTGTTATGTGTTGCTTTCCATGCTGTTCTTGGTAGCTCCCTCCACCTTTTTATATACAAAAGGTGATCTGTGTTTAAAGCTGGAAGATCTGGAAAATCCACTGAGAAGACAATCCTGTAGTCCCTGGAGACCATCCCTGAGCTATAGGGTTTTTCCGAGTCCCCACTCTTAAGCTGAATTGCTACAGCTTGAGGAGGAGGTAGCAAAATTTGCAATAGTGGTCTTGAAGAGGTCAGAAGAGTACAAAAATCCTATGGCCTATCTAACCATGCCCTATTTCTATCCACACACCTCCTCTAGACCGCACTCCAAGCCCCATCTAGAGGAGGGGAAGAAATCAGAATTTTGGAAAAGTGGAAATCACTGCTGCTGCTCCTCCCATCTCACTGGAGCAGCGGATATTGGAAGCCTGAGAGTTCTGAAATTTCCTTCTTAAGGGGAGCTTAGTATTTTACATGAAGAAAACTGGTGTGTGTGTGCATTTCTGTATACATAATATTTCTGCAGACAGAAATGCACATAGAGGCAGACATAGTCTTTTTTGGGCTCCCTGTGCTTTTCTGCAGACACTTCGACCTGCTACCCAGAATACCCAAAACTGATGGAGGGGCGTTCCTGGGGGGTTGTTGGAGCATGTGAATGACTTTTCCAAAATTCAGAATTAGGTTTTAATGTGCAAGAGACAATGCACAACTCAGAAGCATCTGTTCACAAACAGGAAAGAAAAATTTATTCTTTGCCCACTGGAAGCTATATTAGAACATGATTAAAGGAAACGCAGACCCGAGGGTGTAACAAGGAAATGCAACCTAAAAATAATCTGTTTCCCCCTTCTTCCCTGACTCCCAGTGCATTAAATTTAATTTTGTAGCTTTATTCAAGAAGGTTGCATTGGAATCTTGGAAGGGTTTTCAATGGCACAATACATGTGAAGAGCACGAGATGATCTGAAGCACAAGGGTATAGGAAAGAAAAAGTTTGTGGCCTCGTCTTCAGGTCTGAGATTTGACTTTCTCATCCTCGGTGGTAAATCGTAGCAGGAAGTGCCCAGCAAGGGGCCAGCTGTTTCCCTCTTTCTTCCCGAGTTTAAACCATCTTCTGCGCTCCTCACTGCTGCCCCATCACATTCTTCGAGCCTCTGAGAAAGAGCCGCAGGGAAGAATCAGTCTTCCTAATACTGAACTGGCCCATTCTTGCAAGGAGGGAGCTGGAAGGGGCCTCTGCGACACAGCAGGTGGGGTAGCACTTCACTTAAAGCTTAGTCAGAAAGATGCTTGAGATTTTTTTTTCAGAAGAATACTGGAGTGCAGTACCTGGGAGCTCCACCGCATTCCATTCTCCACCAACAGGTACCACCCTTGCTTTTCCGGAATTTTATGACTTTAGCTAAATTCTGTAATTCTGTGAATTCTGTAAGCCCTTTTATAAAAAGCTGATCAGCCTCTGGAGGCTCCGATTGTGTGGGATGCAGCATCTTCCAGACGTGGGTCTACCCCTAAGCAAAGTGAGAGGGGACCATTTCAGATGGCAGATGTTGTGCTCTGAGGAAGGGTACCCAGCCATTCCTTGGAGATTTTTGTTGTGGCCATCCCTCAATTTCACAAAGCAAGTACGAAGGAAGCAACAAAGTACACAATCATATCAGAAAACAAGACCCACAGGGTATCTCTTTCTGAACATGCTGATTCATAGAGCACAGTGCTATAGCAAACTGAAGTGCCTCAGAGTCCATTTGATAAACTCTTTATTTTCTTCCTTCTCTTACTTTAATCTAAAGTGTCAATTTCTCCATTATAGTGACATAGGTTTTTAGCAACCATTCATTTAATTGTTCTGTTTTCAAGGGCATGGTGGATATTTTGCATTTGAAAGCTACTGAAATCCTTCCTGCTAATGACAAATTAATAATCCAGTTTCTTGGAAAACCATTGCTGTCTGCTAAATCTCTCAGTGTTGGGGGGGTGGAAGTGAATGGCATGCTAATAGTTGATTACTTTCCTCCAGCCCCTCCCCCTCCCAGTAATGCGCACTTTAACCTGCATGTTTACAGTCTGCATCTTTATCGGAACAGCTTCAACTACTTGTGCCTGGTTAATTCTATATTCTTTGCCAACTTTGGGGTATCCATTAATACCACAGTTCATGCACCATGGATAAAGCCTTTTATAAACACTTTTCTTGTTATTGATGCTTCCTTTTACACAGCTGCTTAATTAGATTCATATAGTCTTACAGTAATGGCTGGCGAGTTGAAAGCCCAGCATCTCCCAGTTTGGTTTAAAGTGGTTCCCCTATTTCTGCTCCCTCTTAAGGTCAGCAAGATTGCATCCATCTTTAGTGGGAGTTTCTAAATAGCTCTATTTAAAAAATTAAAAAGAGTTTCAAACAGATATATACTGCAAATATCATTGAAGGTGTGCACTGTTGGATTGAACTGCCTTGGGTCTGTCCCTCTTCAGGTCTGGTGATGAGAGTGCTTTTTACGTCCTTTCATCTGACACAGCCGGTCCACACACAGCCCTTGGGTGCTGCAGAGGCTATTTGAAAATCCTCACATGCCATTCTCTGCTTTTCCTTAGATTAACCGTGAAAACTGGTGCCCCATTGAACCGCTTCCAGATCCCTCCTTGCTGAAGCCAAAGCATCCTTGCCATACTGCAGGTAAGAGGAGCTTCATTCCTTGAAATAGAAAATCAAGCAGATCATGCCCAGGTATTGCATTTGGTCCTCTGGTGCGAGGCTATGTGAAGCAACCAAGTTGCTTCAAACGCTTTGGCAGGTTGCAGTGCAGATTGATTTCCATGCTTAATTTGATGCATGTTGTAAACTTTGAATGGGACAGAACACCAGCAAGTGCCATGAACTAATGGTGGAGCACATGCTTTATATGCCAAAGTTACCTGTTCAATCTCCAGAATTTCCAGGTAAGGTGGGAACAGATTCCTGTCTGAAAGCTTGTCAGAATCTTGGAGAGTGTAAGCTGGTCGTGCCCCAGCTTGTGGTCCTGTGGATGTTCTGGCCTCCCTCCTCCGTGATCATTGAGCATGCAGGCTGGAGCTGATGGGGGCTATGTCCAAAATACTTGGAAGGTACCAGGTTGGGGAAAGCTGGTTGGGGAAAGACCACTGGCCTGATTTCATACCCTGTATTTCTTTAAAGTGAAGCGCACAGGCAGCTGCTCAACAAAAACTGAAATATAATGGAGCCAGTGCAGTCCTGCCCTCTTGGACCAAGGGAAAGGGTAGTGGGAGAGTCCAAGGGGGAGGAGCCCTTTGTCCAATTCTGGGCACCACAGCTTAAGAAGGATACAGACAAGTTGGAAAGGGTTCAGAGGAGGGCACCAAGGATGATCTGGGAACTGGAAGCAGAGCCCTGTGAGGAGAAATTGAAGGAACTGGACATGTTTAGCCTTGAGAAGACTGAGGAGAGATATGATAGCACTCCACAGCTACTTGAAAGGTTGTCACAAAGAGGAAGGCCAGGATCTCTTCCCAGTCATTCCAGAGTGCAGGACATGGAATAACAGGTTCAAGTTACGGGAAGCCAGATTCCAGCTAGATAATCAGGAAAAATGTCCTAACTGTTTGAGCAGTACAACAATGGAACCAATTACCTAATGAGTTTCTGGGCTCTCCCACACTAGAGGCATTCAAGATGCAGCTGGACAGCCATCTGTCAGGGATGTTTTAGCCTGGAGTCCTGCACTGAACAAGGAGCTGAGCCTTCTGGCCCCTTCCAACAATACTATCCTGTGCTTCAGTGAGGCCAGATGGCAGGTGGGATGGGAAGGCCAGGAGAAGTAGCCTCTCCACTCTTCCTTCCTCTGCTCCTGCAGATGCATAAGAGGAGCCTCCCCCCCCTTTTTTTTTTTGCTGTAGCACCTGCTGTTTGGAATCCATACCCAAAGGAGAACACAAGCCTGGCCAGGCCCCTTTTAAAACTGCCAAAACTCTGGCGGAGCAGGTGACAGATGATGTTCATCTCTTTGGCCTCTTTTTCATTTTTTTTCCCTAGCAGACAGACCATCAAGCTCACCTCATGAAGTCCTGCTGCTGGCAGCAGTCCCTGAGGTAGAGGGACCACCAGAGATGGGGCATTCTGGTCTCTCCTCTTCCTTCCCCTTTCCACTAGTTCGTTCGTTCATTCGTTCATTCATTCTTGTCTGCTACATCAGCCCAAAGGCTCTCTGAGCAAATCAGTTGTGTTTATTGTCACAAAAGAGCAGGGTATAAATCTAATAAATAAAAAATCACATGAATTCACTGGCAGCCCTCCTTTCCTTTGCCCCATCTTGTCAGGGAACCACAGCATAGCCCTCTTAGCCACCTTTCGGCTCTTCACATCGTTTCTACTGTGCTATGCATTTTAAATTGCCTTAAGCTTTAATTGTAAGTTTTATACCTGTGCCGAAAGGCAGCTCATATATTTATTAATGAAGAAATTATGAATAGGCAAGAAATGATTTTTAACCTTTATTCCCTGAGGCACTGAAGGATAGTTTGAGGGCACTGGTTGAATGTGTCCATCTGTTCTTGGTGCTGCTACTGCAGTCGGGACGTGGCTGGTGTTTTGCGTCACTGCAGAGCTAGTTTTAACGCAGCCTTTATTTTACTTTGTATGCCAAACTGCCCTTTGTACTGACTTGGTGGGACAGAATGTCAGTTCTGAAGTTGCACACATGCAAGCTGATGATCCCCAGGCCTGGAGAAGCACTCCTCTTCATTTTAGAACATCAGTCCCGGATTTTGGGTGCCAGATAGAAGGCGCTGGCATGTTTCTTTCTTGGAACGTTGTTCTCTCTGTTTCCATGTCAGTGGGCAAACAGGAGCCATTTTGGCTAAACTGGAATTAAGGATCTAATTCATAAGCAATCTAATGCCAAGCTAACTTGCACAAATTTGCACAGTTTGCAGAATGTTATACTATCCACAGCATGGGTATAATTACCAACTTATATAACCGCTCAGAACGTGGTTGCTATTGAAAACGCAGTTGAGCAGCTCACAGAGCCTGCTTTAAGAATGTGGGTTCACAAAAGATGAGAGCCACTGTGGGATATTGGTGAGAGCGCTGGGCTGGGGACCTGGGGGACGGGGATTCAATCCTTGCTTCTCTATAAAGCTCAGTGGAGGACCAGCCACTCACTCTCAGCCTAGCCTACCTCTGGGGTGTGGCAAGGATAAAAACAGATTGGAGGAGACTCCTATGAGCTGTCTTGGGTTCCTTGCAAGAGAAAAAAGGCAGGACATAAATGCAATGAGGAGATGCTGATGCTGATGATAATTCTGGTATCTTTGCTAGTCCCTTTACCTTTTCTTGCCTGTCATGAGAGGATGATAGCTTTGCTACCCAGGGACCTATTTAGGTAGACATGTTGGGGACTGATCCTGAGTCATATCCTTTGATCAAATCTCTCTAAGATGCAATTCCTCCCCTCTCAGGGATTTTCACTTCAGGCAATTCAAAGGAAAGGATCCCTCATGCAGCAAGTAGTTGGCCAGCGCTCCAGGGTGCACTGGCAATCTTACCAGAGCAAAAAAATCATCTTTGTTGTGTCTGTCCAAGTCCTTTGACTGTACCTTACTGGGAAGGAGTAGCAGCAAGCCCCACTCCCTGCCAGTTGCCTGGCCTGGAGGCTGAATGATGCGCATTCTGCAATGAATGGAAGTCACTTTCCCTCCTGGATACTTGTTAAAGTTAAGTGCCTCTGATGATGTTGCAATCAGCTGACTGGCTCCCTTCAGAGCTAGTTGACATAATAATAGCTCAGATGCCAAAGTATCCATGTAGGAGAGCTGTTGTATATCTGCATTTCCTAGAGGGAAAGTGAGTTACTGCCTCTAAAAGCCGTAAAAGCATTGCCTTCCTCACTGGGGCCTACAGAAATCCCTTCATTTGTGCTTGGGATCATAATCCTAGATTTGGGTATCAATGTGCACAGAGTATGTCAAAAATAAAAGTTCCCCTGCTAGTTAGCCATTCAAGTTTTCAACTTCACCTGTCTCACTGACACTTGGTCTAATGAAGGAGCAGGGATGTACAGTTCCTTTTATACGTTAATGGAAGAATACTGCTCTTCAACAGAGGCCTCTGTATGAGGGTTAGCAGGCCCTTACCAGTCTTTTTGCTTTCCCCAAAATAGGTCTGTTGCTACCCCAGAGAGCAGAAAGGGAGGATGTTTGGGATATTAGCACCGTAATATAATAGAACCCAGTTCCTTTTGTGAAGAGAGAGAGAGAGAGCAAGCAAGTGCACACATAGGTGGATGAACGAAAGAAAATTAATGTGAGGGACAGTGTGCGTAAGAGATTTGGCATTTTGCTACTGAATTGTGCTATGTATACATAGACCTGACTATGGACCAGCAGAGGTGGGAACGATCTGCGATTGTACAACACACATGCACACTTAGGGCAAAACAAGTTAAAACAGAAAATAAATCGGGTTGGAAGGGTGAACTTCCAAAACAGCTTTTGGCTTTGGATAGTTTTCAGCACTCACGGGGGAAATGTGTACATAATATATTTTGTGTGGTCTTTTATTTTCTCCCTGGCTCTTCTAATCTTCCTAGTTCTTAATTTTCCTGTATATTTGGAGTCATAACTGACTCAAATGGGGAGGCAGGCCTTTCCCTGCAAAACTGTTGCATTTTGATTCCATGTAATTTCTATAGTAGAGGGATCAATTTATCTATGGTTTCTCAACATCCCCTCTCCCTTTCTTTTCTCTCATTCTCTCTGTGTGTGCGCGTGCACATGGGTGTGGTTTTCACAAAAAAGTGTTCTTCGATCCTCTGTTTTGTCCTCACAACCATGCTGTGATGTATATTAGGGAAAGGATCCATGAGAAAGTCACCCTCTGAGCCTCATTGCTGAGTGGGGACTAGAACCGGATCTTCCAACTCCTAGTCCAGCGCTCCAGGCCCTAAGCCACAGTGACTCCTTTTATCAGATGCCTAAAGCTCTCTTTGCAATCATTAGGAGAGCTAGCAAAAGGAGTTGCAGCTTCCTTTCTTTCATGCCCCCCTCCACACACCCTTTTGCCGACCTTGCCATACCTTTCAACACATACGTTGATTAACTTCTTTGGACAAGATGTCTGCCCAGCCTGGAACTTTCTTTTCAATTTTCCATCTGAACCGTTTTTGCAGAGCTGGCTCCTTTTTCAGTCCGGAATGCAGTGGGACATGCTCTGTTAAGCTGCCAACTGGATCAGCAGGAAAGCTGGCTTGCAGACTGTTATGGCTTCTCTCTCTTCCCCCACATCCCCCTTACCCCGTGCCGCCTCCTTTTTCCTTTCCTTTCCTTTCCTTTCCTTTCCTTTCCTTTCCTTTCCTTTCTTTCCCACTTATGGAAAAGAAACACAGGCTTGCCCACTTGGGTGGAAAGCAGAGAAGGTGCAGGAAGCAGGCCCGCACCTGACACAATACGGATGACTCCCTCTGTGATGTGGCAGCTCCTTGGTGGAATGCCGGCGCTCCTGGGCTTGGCGCAGGGCTGTTTTGGGCAAGGACCAGCTGTTGTGGTGAGGGGGCTGGCTGAGTCCTGATTGCTAGTTCAAATCCCAGAACCAGGAACTTGTAACTTGTTTGAGGAGCTACCTTTCTTCATTGGTGGTCCTTCCTCCGCCACTTGAGAACAATAATACTGGTAGGAATGGATCGATGCGGGAGTGCAGGAAGAAGTACAGTGTGCAGCTTGCTGAGAATCCATCCCTTTCCTCTCTTCTTTTTTCACTTAACACATTTCTAGTCCATATGGCTGTAACGATATAAAATATGGGTGGCACAAGTCAAACAGTTGGTTTCATAAAGTTCCCATTGTGAGAGGCTACAGTGGCCTGTGTGATACCTTTTCTCGCCTGATGGTTACTGAAAGCAGAATGAATTATGTAAAATACTGACAGTCTCAGAAAAATGTCAAAAGTGCAAAATGTATGCAGATGTGCCAAAGCATGTAACTTGTGGAAAAATGAAGCCTTCCTTGTTGGAGAATAAGGTTTTTTCTGGATGCCAAGCCCAAAGACCATGACTATGATGAAAAACACTGATGGTTCTTGACAGAGTTGTAAAAATTATGGATTGAATGTGCTTTGAAAGGAACAACTGCAGAAGAACCCTGATTTCTCAGGCTGTGGGGGGGGGGGGCATCACTTAATTGTAAAGTACTTCCTGATTTGTAGTGCAGCCACAGAAGCTCTTAGAGTACATTTTTATTAGTTCAATGAGCTGTTGCGCACTAGATTACTGTGTTTCATTGTCTTTTCTCCCCAGGAACTGATACTTTTCTTGAAGATGGATTAAGTGCTGATGGCACCTCATCACGTGGTATCCTTAAAGGGGGATCTGGGAGTGATTGTGACCTCTTTCCTTTGCCAGCTGATGGGTTAGATGAAGTGGACTTTGAGAAGGTAAGGCCAAGTTTCAGTCATGCTCAGCTGTGGCTTTTACTAAAGAAATCATCCTCCACAGCTTCACTTGAAATATTTGCTCTGTGCAGGGTCTTGAAACGTTCCCAGTAAAACCTCAGTCATACTGGTCTGTTACCTGCCCTCCCTCCATGGCTAGCATTTGGCACCGGTCCTATTCTTCTGCCTCTCCTTCCAGCAACATTTTCTTTTTCCCTGCAGTGTTATCTTCCAGGCAGTGAGCACGACAATGTAATGGCGCCTCTGAGTGGATTTTCTCCACTGCCGTCACTCTGGTGTATTACCCTAAAGCCCCAGAAGACCAGGGAGCAGAGTGGTTGCTGCCAGGATGGAGGGGGCTCTCAGGAGTAGTGGCTCAGCCAACCATGCCCTTTCCCTATCTCAGGGCTTGGTAAGAATTTTGACAGGCCTGCCAGCCGCTGAAACATGGAGCCATTGGAAGTCCATCTCTATCCATTACATTCTGGGAGAAGGCCTCGTTGTTTTGAGGCCACCGTTCCCAAGACTGCCTCCTCCAAATGTCTGCATGAAATGACAAACCACAGTGGTTTCTTGCATAGGATGGTCTGTCGTGTTGCCCAAACCCCATCGCTTAGTTTTTAGAAATAAAGGTTTCCATCTTTCAGCATAGTTACTCTGATATCTGGACCCAGCTTCATGGTTTCTGCAGTGCTACCACAGAAAGAGCAGCAACTGCTTCAGGCATCCAACATCAGATTAAATTCCAGGCATGGTGGCTAATGAGATGTTTTCCAACAGGGGGAGGGCTGAGCAGGAAGGGTGGAAACTCTGCTTGCATAGAAACCACTTAATTCTCTCTCAGGAACATCTAAGCAAAAAAACTGTGTACCATAGAAACCGTGCAGGGTTACTTGTTGTGATGTGTGAACCCAGCCAGTAACCCCCAGATTTCGTCTGTATTGTCTGTGCTGTCTGGGCCTGGTGGGGATTGGAGCCCAAACTATCTGGAAGGCACCATGATTTAAAACATTTTCATCTTAGGAAACGTGCCAGGAGAATTAAACACATGGCTGGGGGGCCGGGGGAGCTTCTGGTTTGAGGGGAAATACACAAATTGCCTTTATTATCATTGAGCTGAAGTAGCTAACAAAACCTTACTTTGTGAATAAGGATCTTTGGAGGATGAAGATGAGCCTCTGTAGATGAAGAGGGGGTGGGGTGGGGGGGGGGTCAAACTTTCAAAAGCAGTTTGCAAAAGTGGGAGGCCAGTGGGGTGAGGTCTAAGGTGAAGACTCCTTAGCCAGCACAAGGGAAAGTTTTCTTACCTCCCTGCTTCTCACATTCAAGGAATCTTTCTAGATATGGTGCTGCCACAGAGAAAAAATGATTAGTTGTCTAGATTGGAGACAGAATCTGCAGGATAGTCTGTTGTCCTGCATGCATCCCTCTTGGCACCCAGTTGGGTAGCCTTGCTGCTGCTGCTGCCAGGCACCAGGGGCCATGTCCAGTGCAGAATTGTTGGGTCTTATTCTTCATTCTGCTTCCTCAAAAGGAACATTCATCACAGCAAGCAGACATTGCAACATCCTCACGCAAGTGAATCATGCTGCCTAATGTCATTTCCTGTGATTTTCCTGTGTTGTAAGGCTCTCCCCTTCCCTGTGTCTTCCCTTGGCAGCCCCATCCGCACCATTGACCTTAATGCCTGAGACCTCAGCACTTTTCTGAGTCTTGGTACAAGTTGCAAACTGTCCCACCTAGCAAGGGCAAGCAGACCCTTCTGAATTAGGGGTCACAGTCAACGTCATTGCAGTCATTAAGGACCCATCACGGCTCCAGCCAGCAGAGTAACAATTCTGGATGCAGCACAGGGAAAATGTTTTCCAGTTCCTTCAGCCTCATGCGCAGCCCAGGGAGCGGCTAAGGAAAGGGTGAGGCATCGAGGCAAATAGCAATCTTCGTCTATAAAGTTCTGGCTTTGGTTTCTGGGAAGGAAAAAAAAAGGCAGCCACTAATGCAATTCAGATTTATTTGTTTTGTTTTGTTTTTTGCCATAAAAGCTCTCCTAATGGTTGGCATTGTTGCAACAATGCTCCATTCTGTCTCCTGCTTCGGGAAGGATTTGGACGTACATTGCTGTCGCTGAGCATGAAAGAATGAAAAGAAAACTCTTCATTGCTTGCCTGCTTTCAATATCATATGGGCAACAGTGATAGCAAAGTACCGCTTGCATGACCTTTGCCAGTGTCCAGTGCATTTACTGTTCTGTGCCTGTCAGGCCAGGGAGGTCCCTTTGGCCTCTGCAAGTATACAGGGAAGAAAAAGGCACAGCCTGGCAGGAAAGTTCATGTTTGGCATGCAAAAGATCCCAGATGCCGTCCCCAACACCTGCACATCGGGCTGGGAAACTCCTGCTTGAAACCCCAAAAGAGCCCCTGCAGGCCAGTGTTGACCATACTGGGTTAGGTGCAGCCCTTTGGGAGCGTTTTTCAGCTCAGGAGCAGGAGAAAGACGCTTTAAAGAAAATTAAACAAATACCTTATTTAAACAAACATTGCAACCACTCCAGAGTACGTCTGGTTAACCTAAGCTGCCTCTTTCTGATCGTGCTGAAATGCAAAGTTCCCGGATTCAAGCAAGAATGACCGCATGCAGCAAGAGGGCTTCAGACCCACCCCACCATGTGATGTGGTGAGGCTGCAGTCTTGTGCTGCATGTGGGATGCCTCTTCAGTTTTGCAGAAAAGACGCTTGAGGGGATTTCTGCCAAAGGAACCTCTCTCTGCAGAGATACAGTTCTGGAGGGAGGATTTTGTCCAGTGCAGACTATTTCTTTATGTAATCGTGTAAGAAATTGGGAAGGACTTTGTAAATCCCCGCTAGGATAGCCATCCCCAGTGAGATCATTCTTCCTGGCTATCTCTACTGCCTCATCTTTCTAAATTGCCTTTAATTTGGGGCTGATGTTCACAAAGTTACTGCGAAGAATGTGCCTCCAGCTTGAGAATGAACGCCGTCCAAGTCAGAGAGCGCAGCAGGATTCTTATTTATGTAAGCAAGAAGCAAAACATGCAGTTATTATGGGAGAAATGGGGGGACCTGAGGCTGTTGCTGGGGGGCTGTTGCTGGGGGGCTGGAATTGTGGGAGAGGCTTTTGAAAGTAGACCCCTTCTCTGCCTCTTTACTTGCATTGGATGTAGATTAGTAGACTAGAGTCAGCATGGCTTAGTGGTTAGTGTTTCAGACTGGAACTTGGGTTCTAGTCCCTACCTAGCCAGGAAGCTCATGGGTGACTGGGCCTAACCTACCTCGCAGGGCTGTTGTTGTGAGGTTAAAATGGTGAGGTTCCCGTGTGCTGCCTTGGGCTGCATGGAGGAAAGGCGGGATAGCAATGAAATGGAAACAGACCCAGTCACCTAAGGCTGTTTTAGCAGGAAGCCCCATTAGAGGCTGAGCAGCAGCAGAATGACCGCTGATGTCGCTTCCCTTGCATGGGCTTGGCAAAGGCCTCTTGAGTGCTCTTTTTCCCTGGTATGAACCACGGTCGTTCCAGGTCTGCTGGTGCCCAAATCCTCCATTTCTGTTAACATGACATAGGAGAGATGAACGAGCCCTTTGTCAGGGTCTGAGATGAAATTCACCTGGGCAGATGAAATTCATAACAAGGGAAACTTGTGTCATTATCAGTGCTAGGGGCCAGATCAATCCCTTGGCTGCCAGTTGGCTGCCCTCTAGTTTACAATCTAGATCCTGGGTGGACCTGCAGCATAACATGTATTGGTTCTGTTAGTGCCGTTTACAGATGTTGCACGGAACTTGCATTCCTTCCCCTGTGGTGGCCCACGTGCCAGTTGCATGCACAGTCGCAGGTTCTTTGCACACTGTTTGCCATTAATGCGAGAGGTCATTACTGTGGCTGCAAAAAATGGGTCTTTCACCGCAGTGGCCCTCTGGCTTCTGCATGTCTAGGTGTGACAAGTGGCCCAACTTCTCTTGTCTGGGACTGCTGCAAGCTTTCTCCAAGCTTCAGCAGGCATCTGATGGATTGAATGGAGTTTTGTGTGCATAATTCTGGTTGGTTCCTCTTTAAAAAAACAACAACAAGAAGTTATATTTTTCAGCAAGTTTGAATGTTTGAAAAGCTACATATAAGTATTTCAAAATCATAATTTAAATGTATTTTTCCCCTGGCAGCAGCCTGAGGAAGAGCAATCAGTGGGAGAGAGTACAAGTTCAAGTTCCTCTGCAGATGATACTGTCTCCCTGGAAAGGAACTCTTCGCTTGGGAGTGACATCTCCCTCCCTCGAGTTCTTGGACTCAGCAGGCCCAAGGATCAGTTCAGTCCAGATGGCAGCTGCTTCAGTGTGGCAGCAGGCGCAGAAGGCCAGGATGGCGAGGCTTCCCTCCCCGGAGAGCTGGATGAGGAGCTTGACAGCATCACCGAAGTGCCGCCTCCTTCTTCTGCCCTGAGGAGCACCATCAGGCCACCATCTCCTTTCCGTCGGCACAGCTGGGGCCCAGGGAAAAACAGCAGCAGCGAGGCCGAGATCAACCACCGGAGGTGAGTCAAAGCTCCCGATTTTGGAGAGCCTCTGGGCCAGATACCCTGAATGATGGCCCCTTCTCTCAACGAATCTCCTCACCTGTCTTCTCCATCACTGTCTGTTACTGCTCCTCACCTTCCTTTTCCCTGTCATGACTTCTCTCTGCTTACTGGATAGGCACTGCCTGCGCTCACCTCCCCATGAGCTCCACGTCCACCCGAGGCCCCGTCCCCAGACAGAGGGTTCCTTGGTTCATGGTTGGAATGCAAAAGAGCATGCAAGAGTCTGCTAGCTCTTGGAGACCCTCTGAATTGGCCCAGGGAGGTGGGCAACTTCCCCCAGACCAAAGGAGGCTTTCCACCTGACATAGCCCTGCTGCATTTCTTTCATTAGCCTTTGGCTCGTCCTTCATTTCGTCTGGCTAGGTCTGGTGGCACTTGGTAGAAATGCATCTTGCTAGGAGTTTTGTGGGCCGGAACCCACTTCAGCACATCTGTGGCATGTGCTTGTGTGTGTGTAAAAGGGATGTAAAACCTACAATCTCTCCGATTCCTCAAGAGCTGAAATGTGCAGAAGCTGACTCTTCACTGCAGACCCTGCTCCCTGCATCCGATGAACTGGGCCTTAGTGCACAAGACATTTGCTGTAACAAAACCATGTTAAGGTGCCATAAGACTGTGTCTGTTGCAGCAAACCTAAAATAGTGATTCTTCTGGAAACTGTTAAAAGAACTGTAGGTTTAAATGCTACCTGAATTTACTTAATTCCATCACCTTTTCCTTTTGTGCATTTAAAGTGTATGTCTGAGAATAGGGACTCACCTGTCTTTGCTTTCGTGTTTTGTTTATTAATTGGTTGAGAAGCCTTTCAGAGATTTCAGCAGGGTTAAATGGCTTTAAATGTGTAATACAAACAATCAAATAGTTCCCTCTTTGTTTCAGGAAATCCAAGGCCAGGCATGTTTTTCCTTAAACATTAAAAACTGCTTACATTTTTTCGGCTGCTGATCATCCTCACAGGGGCTACAAACTTGCATTGTTTGTGTTTATTTAAGGACAAAAGATTTGCTGGAATATATAGCTGGAGAGATGTGACTGAATGATAGAAAGCCATATTCCACAATTGGGTGTGCTCACAGCCAAGCAGCGTTTTAAACTTCAGTGATTGTGGAGGTTAAACCATGAGAGTTTAAATCATTCTCATTGTTGCAAGTAATGACTCAACTGTCACCTCGAGAGTAGGGAGTGGCTGACACAAACTGAGGGGCAAAGCAGCTAATTCCTTGACTCGCTGTAGATTTCATAGAAAGTGTGCTGCTGGTGCTGGCGGCACAGGCAGTGGGGAGATGAGGAGCTGCTTGCTTGAATGCATCCCCATAATCAGGCCAGGGATGGGGGACATTGCCATGGCCATAGACAAACAGTATTATCGGAGAAAAGGCTAGACTGCACCCCAGCCAGTCTTTCCCATGTGTGTCAAGAGTCCTTTATCCAAGCAGATAGGGTGGCTTCGCTCCTGGGGTCCCCACAGACCTCCTTCCTCTGACCCTAACATCCATTCCATCATTCTTCACTTCTACCCTATTCTTTCTTGACTTCCCATCCCTAATCTAAGGTTTTCTTCGTTGTTGGTGCCACTACTTTTCATTGACCACTGTCCATGATTCATTTTCAGTTCAATCCGAGTGCTGGGGGATGCTGTACGAAAGTCTCCCACCCATAGGAGAAGGTACAGCACAGACACTGCTGCTGACTAACCATGATGCATTGGAATGGCTACTAATGTCCTGCTTTTGTATTAATCACAGCTGACCGCCTGACCCAAACTGTTGATCATTTCAACCCAGTGGGTCAACTGTGTAGTTTTCCCCTGTAGAGCTTGGGCTTGCTGCCGAATGTTCCTGGACCACTTTTCCTGCAGGTCCAGATTGTGGTAGTTTTATATTTGAAATAGAATTGTTCTTTGTGTTTTTATCTTTGCATTTCTGTAGATAAGCAGTCCTTTCTTTTCTTTTCTTTTCTTTTCTTTTCTTTTCTTTTCTTTTCTTTTTTTTTGGAGAATTCTTTATTCTATGCCATGCTTGTTTCTGAAATGGGTCTGTTGACATGTGATGTTTCTCTTTGTCCAACACATGTTTTTAGAGGACAATGGGAATAAGACCTTTGTGTGCATCCACCCTCCTGTTCTCATATGCTACCAAGAGTCAATTACCTACTTCTGGTTCAGGCAAACTATTGTTTGCTGTTGCAGATGAGCCGAGAAAATATTGCCTGTGTTTGGTCTCAAAGTAGAATAATAAAGTAGTTAGTTGGAAGGGGCCAGGTGGCCTGCTTAATGCAGGACTCCAAGTTCAACCATTCCTCTCAGGTGGCTGTCCAGTTGCATCTTGAGAGCCCCCTAGGGAATTGGTTCTATTGTCATTCTGCTCCAGCAGCCAGTTCTTTCTGATGCCTAGCTGGAATCTGGCTTCCTATAACTTGAGCCCGTTATTCTGTGCCCTGCACTCTGGGCTGATCAAGAAGAAATTCTTCTTGTGACAGCCTTTCTCTTTGTGACAGCCTTTCAAATTCTTTTAGAGTGCTATCTTATCTCTCCTCAGTCTGTTTTCTTCTTGAGGCTAGACATGCTGAGTTCTTTCATTTCTCCTCATAGGACTTTGTTTCCAGTCCCCGGATCCTCCTTGTTGCCCTCCTCTGAACCCCTTCCAGTTTGTCTGCAAGCACTAGGATTGTCACCTGTGGGTCAACACTGATTTCCACTCTTGGTTTGGTGGAGTAGCACAAGCCATTGTTCACCTGTTCAACTGTAGCAGCAAAGTGTCATTTGTCACACCAGGAAGCAATGAATTGACTCTGGGCATATGAGAAGAGGGTGTGTGTAGGCACAAGGTGCTTTCTCACTCTGTGAATGCACCAGGTACATGCAAAGTGACTTGACCACTTTAACTCAACTGCATCTTCCAGTAGTTTACCAAATGTAAATAGTTCATTTAAAAACAGTTGTTGCAAAATGGTTTTTTTTAGATTTTCAGAGCAAGCAGTTTTGAAGAAAATGAAAAAGGATTAGCAAACTATTCTATATCCCTGATTTGACTGATTCATTTCAACGCATGGTGTATATATACACAAAACAAAAACAAAACTAGTTCCCTCCAGAAACAATGTTTCTGTTCCTAGTTTTTGTTGTTTCTTTTCTCCATCCTCCAATTGATATTTAAGCATAATGCTTAAGGAACATTTTTGTCTTTCCCTATGAAAAAACCTCTGAGCAGCTAATCCTGCTAGATTTAGCAAGTCATCCCATGCTTGAATGGTGATTTTGCAAAAAAGCATTTCATCAAATAAGGCAGGAGTTGGGTTAGAGCATTCATCTCATTTTTGTATGGCTTTTAACATTTGAACAAACTTTTAACATGTTGGCCAACTTTCAGTGCTGAGGGCAGGAGAGGCCACCTGTGATAAATGCTATAGACCCATGATTCCCAAGATGTGTTGGCTGGTGACGATCCACTGTGCGTGGCTAGAGGGCACCAAGTTGGGAAAGGCTGGGATGGACCCTATCCAGAAATAAAAGGCAAATGTCCATCCTGAAACACAAATCTGCTATTTCATAATAACTTGTGCTAAAGTTCCACAGCTGGAACTTGACTGACAATTTCAGAGCTGAGCCCTCCTGTGGTCCACAGCTCCTGCGGTTGTCAAGGATGCGTGGCCCTTTGCCTGCTTTGCCAGCAACGCTAGATGCTTGCTGTGCTCTGTCCTGGGTGACACTTAAGGAAAACTGTGCAATCTCGTACCAAAGGCAATCTCGTCCATCATTCTGTTCATGCAGTGGCCAACCAGCCGCCATTGTGAAGCCCCCAAGGGTGACAACAACCTCGTTTTCTCCTTGACTCTTCCAAATTGTTGTCTCATATCATTCTCATCTCCCGGACTCTGCCTCCTCCAGCCATTCTTTCCCAGGGTTACTTGCCTCTCAAGTGTTCTGCCTACCTGCTGGCGGCCCTTTCTGTTAAGCACTCCTGTATCCTGAGCTAGAAGAGGTCGCTTAACTTTCCTGCTGTACCCCTACCATGGCCACTTCTTTGCAACTTTATAGATGTCATCCTGGTCCACTGGGTTTTATGAGGTGTTACTTCTAGCCAGACTGGCTGTTTGTTTCCCTCACCAAGGTTCCACTAATGGTCAAAATTCTACTACATCTTACCCAGGAGTTGGAATGTTCATGGGCATTCCATGACACCAGAGCATGGGCATTCCATGACACTTCATCCAAAACCTGAAGGGTGTGTCTCCTGGAAAGCTAGCCTTTAGTTCATTGCATGGAAATAAGTTCCTGCAAGGGTACTGTTGGTTGAGAACAGTCCTACTGAAGCTATTTATGGGAAGATGGGGAACTCTCAAGAGCAGAAGACATCTATTGAACTGAACACCATCTTCAGACCATTCACACATGCTGAGCTATTGGGAAAATCAGCCATGGTGATGTTACACTGGAAAATGAGCCATGGATGCCACTCCCATCAGCTTACTAACAAATAAACATGGCATGCTTTGTTTTTGAAGAGCTATAATTCCTTAAAAGGTAACAGATGTTATAAACATCCACATTTTGGACAAACTTGTAACAGCAGGTTTCTTGCTCTCTCTTGCCTTTTGACATCTCCAGTCTGAGCTGGTGTCCCTCTGGTGTCCAGTGCACTGCCATGGGTGCTGACTTTAATGGTAGAAGGTAGAGTATGAATACATGTGCCCCACACCAGAGGCAGCTTGCTGATGTAGCACTGTTGGCTTCCTGTGTAGTGTCCGTGGCCTTGGTTGTGTCTGCTCTGTGTCTGCTGGCTTGGGAGTTGTGCAGTCTCTGGTTGTTTATGGTTCTGAGCACACAGCTCCCCCCTCCCCGATTTGGCTGGAATTGTGGTCATGGTGCCCTTGCTTTTCACCCCTGACCTGAAGGAGGAACAGGTCCCCATCCGATGTCCTGCTAAGCTTTGGAGGTTCTTAGAGCACCTCCAACATGTGGCAAGACTGCAAAGATCTCCCCCACCATTTTGTGTCTCTAAGCTTGGAGAAGGGTGAGAGCTGGCCAACCCCTTGGAATGACTCTTGCCAAGGCAAACAATTTTGGAAAAATCTGATTTTAAGGCAGGCTTGCAAAGAAACATATCAGACCCAAAAATACTTACAAGCAGCTAGAAATACATCATGCCATGCAAATGCACATAGATAGACAAGCTGAAAGAGTGGCAAGGTGAAGTGTGGAGCCACAACTCCAGGTTGCGAAGTTCTCACTGCCTGGGTACCTGAAATAAAGCCTTGCTTCCCCACATAGACTGAGAGAGTGGCTTCATTCAAACCTGGTGATCAGCATCAGTGATATATTTCCTGGTTTTTCTAGAGATTGCCCGGAGCTTCTGAATTTAAAGGGGATGTACTTAATACGCCGCATGACTCCATCCCATAGTGTGCCCTGGCATCAGGGAAAGTGAGCCAGCTGAGACATGAGCCCTGGTTGGTTGATGGGGCTAGTATGGGAGCATTTGCAGATGGATCGCTTCCCAAGCGACATACATAAGAATTAGTATTAGAAATTACAAAAGAGATTACATCACATATCTGTGGGCATAGTTGATAGTTCCATTAAAACAAATGAGGTGAAGAAGTGAACATCCATGCAATAAGTTCTCAAGATGCATTCCTAGTATCTGTAGCCTAACAGATTTATGACATGAAACAGTAAAAGATAATTGCCAAACATATTTTGACCTAGTTAGTTAGTGTATTCACTGGCTTTGCTCCCATTCAGTGTCTGAGCCAACCGGCCATACTCTCATCAAGGATGCCTTGTTCTGTTCCCTGTTTTCCATTGGGTTCCTCAATGGGCAACCAAGGTCCTCTTCATCCTCCTGGCATGGTTTTAGGCACCTCACTCCCAGGCAGAGTTCCCTCAAAGACCTTGCATCTCTCCGCAGGTTCTTCCAGGCCTGCCATTGCCTCCCTCCTGTGTGTGGATGGTGTATCTTTGTGGGGATGATGTGTGTGAGAAATAAAGGAGGACAGAGAGAGAAAGGATGTGCATGGGAGAGAGAGTGGTGAGGGCAAGGCAGTGTGCATACCTGTTTGTGGAGGGGAAAGGGTGTGTGTGTGTGTGTGTGTGTGTGAGAGAGAGAGAGAGAGAGAGAGAGAGAGAGACAGAGAGAAGGGGGACAAGTTTCTTGGTGCAGATCTCTGTGTGAGAGGGGTGGAAGGGAGTGGGGGCATGTGGGTGTGTATGAGAGAACTGGGGGAGGGGACAGTAGGAAGGCCCAGCATTGCCTTGGGCAGTCCTCCCCCCACCCCCAGCCATCACTTTATGTGGTGACAAGAAAGTTTCCTGCTGGCACAAACTTGGCAGCAGTGAGGGAACAAACCTGCACCAAGGAATAGTTTCCACTTTCGCAGTCCTCTATTAGATAATTAAAAGATTAGAAACACCAGTGGTTTATTAATACTGAAAAGTCTTCATGGCTTTGGCTGTTCCGTGCCATCAAACTCTGTGCCATCCTTAAAAAAATGTTTGCATCTATACACCAATGCGATGCATTGAAAGGCCACTGTGATCCGCTACAGTAAAGGTGCAGAACCTCTGGCCCAGGGCCCACATCTGGCTCCCCTGGAATCCCAATTTGGTACTTTCCCAGTCCCCCCACCCTTGCTGGTTGAATTTCCTCTCCTAGGGCTTTGCTAATAGCTGGAAAAGCTTTAAGATAAAATATGATCTTGCCCCCCCTCCCCAAAGCTCTGAAATGGAAATGGTTCAGCAGCCTGCTCTGGACTTTCAGGTTATCGGGATCTGGTTCCCTGCATCATGGGCTGACCTCTCTTCAGAATGCCCAACATGAGCTCAGACAGGGATGAATCGTTTGGTGGTTGCTCCATCCAGCATTTACAAAACTTAATACCTAGAATTTGTCTTCAGTTACAGCTTAGAAGGCCTTGCTGGAGAGCCTGATGTTACTAAGAAGCCACCGCCAGGTCTCGAGTCGTCATCCCTGACCACCAAAGATCTCCGGCAGAGCCCTCCAGCGAGTGATGACCGGGGCTCCTTGGTCTCGCTCACTGAAGAGGAGCTGGAATCAGAGCAAGAAGTGCAGGGCTTTGACCGTCAGGTAAGCAAGGCTCTTCCAGGCTGGCAGTGCTGAACCTCATGTGGTCTGCGGGCTTCGGAGAAGCATTTGGACCTTTTAGCATGGGGGAAACCCTGCACAAAAGGCAGGAAACCACCAAACCATCTGTGGATGGAGAAGGGGGGGTGGCACCAGGGGCAGGGCTACTGGGGGGACCCCAGAGTGTCCAGTTGGGGCCTGGGGGCCCTCTTCTGTGCATTCTGTCCCTCCTGCCATCCTTGGAGGTTTGACCGTGATAGACCATCTTGGTTTGAGTCCCTGTCCGGTGAGCTGCAGCACAGCCAGCTCAGGTCAGAGATAGGCCAGCAAGTAGGGCTAACAAGCTTGTACACAAACTTCTTCGGGCACAAGAGAACACCTGTTCTGTTGAACAGTTCTGGGGCAGGTTGACCATCAGTATGTCTACCTGTCTGCCCTCTTATGGTCTGGTCCCTCTTCACCCTATTTCTGTGCTATGAAGCTTGCAGGAGTTGGGCAGAAACACAGCATTTTCTTTAACTGCTGGATCTGAACAGGTTGTTTTAATTCATAATTTTGGTTGCTAGGGGAGCACACCTTTCCATGAAAGCAAGGTGCCTCCCTCCTGGCTCGCCTCGTTTGAAAGTGAAAATACAGCTTTCCTGTATGGGTACAGCCACCATCATGCAGCCAGATTCAAAGACAATTTGGTGGCGGGCTGGATCCGCATTCGGCCCACGTATTGCCCACCACCTTTTGTGCAGCATGGAGGCCACATTCATTTCGGTTCGCCTTTCTTCTCCAGATCCGCCAAAGAGCACAGCCACGTTTCACCTACAGCACAAACCCCGTGTCTCCTCCGTTGACCAAATCCTTGTCACTGATGACCATTGCCCAGGCTGGACCAGACAGTGAGTACACATTTCACGACGCACTCAGCATTGGCTGTGACTGCCCCTTTGCTGTACTAATAGCCTCTTCCTCTTCCCTGCTCTGCTGGAGCTCCGTGTCATGTTGGTCAGGAATACATGGAGCTACCTTGACTTGAGTCAGGCCTTTTGCCCCGCTTGTGGGCAGTAGCTCAGATAAGGTCTTTCCAGCAATTCTGCTGGTGAGTTGCTTGTTTATCTTGCCTGAGATACCTGGAAGGAATTGTCAGACCTTTTGCATCCCAAGTGTGCACTGTGCCACTGAGCTGCAGACCCTTTTGGCCTGTCTTCAGAGAAACGAAATTGTGGGCTAGGAGTGGCAGGGAGGGAACAAGCATTAACTTCCACCCTTGGCATCCGTTACAGGATTCTGTGTGCCTACAGGAGCCAGGGTGGTGTAGTGATTAAGAGTGTGGGACTGGGACTCTGGAGATCTGGGTTGTTGTCCCCATTCAGTGATGAAACTTAATGGATGACACTGAATCAGCCACTGACTCCTACCCTACCCTACCCTACTCTCATGGTCATTGCTGTGAGGATAGAATGGAAGGAGAGGAACCTTGTAAGAGGAGGAAAAGCAGGGTATGCATGTAGTGTAGTGTAGTGTAATAATCAATGACAGTAGTGAAATAATTATTACTCCAGTGGCTCTTTCTTCACTGGACTGTGGAAATCTATTTTTTCAAAAAGAATATGCCATAAGCACAAATTGATCATTGAACCTCTGCACTATGGCTAATGGTATCTCCTTTGAGCATGCCCACTTAGTTATTTCATGTATCTCTGGGTTTTGAGAGATGCATAGAACAGGTAATTTTTAAACGTGTTTTGTTATCTGGTGGAAATGTGATGAAATCTCTAATGTTGGATGATTGTATGGGGGCTGGGGGTTGTTAGTGCAAAATATTTGTGAGCTGGCTGGTTGGTTTGCATATTTCCATTGATCTTATCATGGACTTCTTGAGTGCCACAGAATTACTTTCATGCTTTGATTCCTATGCACTGCTAAGGGTGGATGGTGCTGGTACTTGAAGTAACTGGCACAGAACAGTTCCGTTCTATAATTTTTCCAGGATCTTGACATCTGACTGGTTCTACCCCTACTTAATTTTGGCCAGACACCCCTAATTTCAGAACAGGTGGCATAATCTTGCACGTGTGCCATTTTCTTAAAAGTTGCCTTTAAAACAATAACAGCAAACTTTCCCATAATTTCACAGTTAAAATGGATGCCTTAACTGAAAGTGATTTCAGTAGGGAATCAAAAGGAGTCTGCAGGCAGGAAATGCCTGGGGGCGGGCACAATTTCTTTCAAAAAGAAAGCCATTTTCACAAGTTGTGGGGGAGGCAAACTTTTCTTTGAGCATTGTACAAGTTTGGTATTCCTGGAAAAAATCAGAAAACGCTGCCGTAGAACATGGCTTCAGAACAGATTCTGCCCCATGGGCTCTGAAGCGGGCAACATGGCACTGCAGCAAGTGGCGTGGAGTCTGTGAGTGACCCCGACAGTCACAGAGATGGCTGCTGCAGGATATAGTACTGACTTGGTGTCTGCGCACGTTCAAAGGATTGCCTGAGCCGAAGAGGAAACTCAGGAGTCCAGGATTAGTCTTAGGTTCTGGGGCAACCCCTTTCAGTAAAAAACTGCAACCAGATTTCCACAGTGGGGATTGGAGTGCGGGCTTCTTCTGGCCTGGCGCAGCTTCGCACACACATGGCAAGCCAGCCGGTTGGCCAGCGTGGTCGCAGCAGTGGGCTGAAGCGGTGAGGAGTGAAAGCTGTGCCCCGTCCTAGTCGCCAAAGCCCCCAGCGAGGGACCCACTGCTCTGATCCACTGGGACCCTTCTCAAGGTCAATCTGGCAGCTGTCTGGGCAGGGAGAGCAGAAGGAAAGACAAGGCCTTGGCCCCATTTACTGCTGCCACATGGGGCCAGTCGGGCCCCCATGATGCAGGTGAGGGGAGACTGTCCACTCTGAGCCACAAGCTCCATGAAGCTCATGGAGTGGCCTTAGGCCAGTTACTCTGTCCCATCTGAACTCGCCTAGAGGGAGTATGGCGCAGATAGGTGGTGATAGGGAGCTATGTCTGTTGCTTGGAGTTCCCCTGGGGGGAGCAGAATTGAAAAACACACAAGGCATTGCGAGTCATCCTTTATTTTTAACCTAAGTGCCGCCTCTCCCAGCCTTCTGCATTTTTACCTAGAGCCTGGCCTCTTTGGAGGGAGCCTCTTTGGAGGGAGCCTATTTCATCCTGGGGGTGTTGTGAGGGAAGGAGAGTGCCTTTTTGGAAGAACCATGTCATTTTCTCAGGATTATGACTAATACCAATGTTGACACGAGGTTGTCTGTCCCTTAGCAATAGTAACCAAAACAAAGTCCATTCATTGGAGTAGCTGCTTCTATACTTCCTGTGCCACATTGCATCAATTTTCCTTCTCATTCCCCAGCCCATCATATAATTATTTTTTGTTTAAAATAAATTTTCAAAGAAGAAGCAAATAACCAGCTGGCTACTATCTTTTTTTCAAGTTGTTATCCCAACAATAGAAGTTAATCCTGTGTTGTTTCGTCAGGCTTACAGAGAGGGTAGGCAAAAGTAGTCAATGAAAAGCCCCAGTCAGTGCTGATAAATACTTTACCTACAGAAGTATTTGGGATATAGGGAATGAGCAAAGGAGGAGGGAAGCAAACGACCCAGGGCTTGTTTGATCATTGTCTGCCAAACAAATCGTGGGTTGGGCAAGAAAATCTGGGTGAAATGAGCCTTGGCTATTATATGCAAACAGGGAAGAGAAAAAACAGAGCTACCACAGATCTGCCATAAGGTTGTGTTCCAATCATAGGGAGAGCATAAGTTGCTGTTCGTATATAAATTAGCACTAATGAGCATAGGGGAGAGGGCTCCAGATCTGTGGGTTCCTGCATTCTTTGAGTGCAATTTGGAGAAAAAGAAGGCTGCTTAGAAAGTCTCTGCAAGAACCCGAGGTCTGTTGACTTCTTTACATTCCAGAGAGAAACCTCAACTCAGTATGTGTCCCGAGCTCTCCCAAACAGCCCTCCCTCTCCAAAGACATGAGCTGATGGCAAGCAGATGCCGAGCCGCTCTTAACTTGTCAGCCTCATGCAGAACCGGAGGCTTTATAGGAGCTCTGCATGGAATGAGCCAAAGACTTCCAACTCTGGAGCAAAATAAAAGTTGGGAAACAGATGAGAGGGGGCAGTGAGAAGCAGCGTGCAGTTGTTAATGAATGCCATCCCTCCATAAAGGGAAGAGCATACCTAGTGGTGGTGACTGGAAAACTCCCTGTTTTCCCATAACTCTGCTTAAGTTTGACTTGTGTGAGTCAAGATCCTGTTGCCTTTCCTGGAGTGGTGGGGGGGGGGGTGCGCACACATGTGTGCGTATGCAAGAGTGAGGTGGTTTGTTTATAAGCTGCTGTACTGCAGTTCTCACTAAAACCATCAACATCCACATTTTTCACATTTTATTCATTATTTGGTGGAGAATTTTTGTTAGGCTTAAAGAAAGCATGCTATTTCTACTGTACAGCCAAAAAAGAGCTCTTGGAGCAATTTAGAAAGGATTAAAAACAAAACAAACCATCCTTGCATGCAAGTTACAATCTGAAGAGACAGAGCACAAAAGGAAAGAGAGATGGGGCAGGAAGAGGAAAAATGGATGTAAACAAAAATATTAGTACAGTCAATTAAGTCAAATGCAATTCAGTGTACATATTGCAGACCCCTTCACTAATCTAGACTGAGTATATAGCAAGTACAAAGTAAAAACAAAGTCTCTCCCTTCCTGTGTTAATTTTATTATATTCCAGGAGACTACAGCAGCCTGGCTTAAGTACAGTGGGAGGTGGGCGGGTATTTTCAGTAAGGCTGGATGTCTCCCAGCTGCCTCTCTCATCTCCTTCAGAGGAGGCTGGCAGTGGTAAGAGGAAAATGCTGGGCCTTGACAACAGTGGTGAGTCCTTATCCACAACATTCCAGGTAGTTTGGTTGTTAGTGCTGATTGTAACTGTCCCTGGCAATGCTGCATTACAACAAGGACTAAAATTGCCCGTAGACACGGCCATTGTAGTGGGCTTTGTAGTGAGTTTGGAGTGTTCCTTTGTGGGGTAACTGTTGAATTTCAAGCTGAACTACAAAAGGCCTTATAAGTGTAGCTACATCTCTTAGGGGAGCTTTGCACACTCTGAAGGTTGCTTCCAGTGCTATTTAAGGCAAAAGTGGGAGTAATTTTGGAGTTCCATGCTAGGACTGTGAACGTGAAACTGATTTTGCAGTTTGCTTCAAGGGAAGCCAAGAGCTCTCTAATAAGGTCAGTGCAATTTCTCAGGAGGGGTTTCACCTAGGGTTGGGGTGGTGAATAGTGGTGACTCCCACCACTCTTAATTGTATGGCTCTGTTTGAGGGGGAGTCACCTGCCTTCCTCTGAATCTGCCCAGATCTGAGCACTGCTACCTGCATTGTTTGTTCTCCTGTGGAATGAATTGTTCCCTCTCTTTGGGCCTTTAGAAAGGGCGTGCAGGTGCATCTTTTTCATGTAGCCTTTAAGAATACACAATTGTAGTGTTTTTGCTGTTTTAATTCTCTTGTCTTTGTTGTTTTGGGGTTTCACTCCTTTAAACTGTTTCATGCTACCTTGATTTCCTATTAGTGACTAAGGTGGTGTATCAATGTATGATAAAAGTATAAAAAGTAGAATAGAGGGCATTTATATGACTTTGAGGGCAAGGCAGCCAAAACTTCATCAGAACTTTTCAATGGTGAATCAGGCTGCTGGCTGCTAGTCTAGATTGTCCAAAATGTCCTGTTTCTTGTGGAGCTGTTTGGCCCATCCTTCTCCCCACACCTGCCTGCCTCAGATTATGTACAAAAGATTCTTTGTGTGATATTCAAGAAACCTAGAAAAGCAGCTAGGAGGCTGCTGGAATATTAAAGATCTCAGACAACCCTCCTCTGAAAATAACCCCCCCCCCCCCCCCGCTGGAGAAAAGAAGGGAAATCTTCCATTGCTGACCTTTCTTCTCACTGGGGCCTTTTGAAAGTTTGGTCCATCCCTAGCTTTCCCTCTTCCTAGGCCATCCTTCTCTAACCTGTCACCCTCCAGATGTTTCAGATGTCAGCTTCTGTCAACCCCAGTCTGCATGCATGGCCAGTGGTTCAAGATGCTGGGAACTGCATTCCGAAAATTAGGAGGGGCCCAGGTTAGAGAAGACTGTCTCTGGGTTTCATTGAAAGTAACATTCATTTTGGAGGCCACTTCTCGGGTGAGAGACATCAGAGGAATGCCAAGGATAGCCAGCATCATTTGGGTAAGACTGGTAACAGAGCCAGGTGGTGCAGTGGGTAAGAGTGCGGGACCAGGACTCAGGAGCTCTGGGTTCTAGTCCCCACTCAGCCACCTCCCTGGGTGACTTTAGACCAGTCAGAGCACTCAGCCCAACCTACGTCACGGGGCTCTTGCTGCCGGGACTGGGAGCAGCCTTGCATTCCTTGAAAGGAAAAGGGTTGGTTACAAATATAATGAATGAATAAACATTTCCCTGCATGCCATGACGGGGTAGGATGTGGCAGAAATATATTCCTCTTGAATTCATGGCTCTGAGGTGGTGTTACCATGTGTAGACAACTGAGATGGTCAGCCATGTTGGGAGAGCTCTTGGAGGACTTCTCTTCTGGACGTCCACATGGTGGGCATGTCATGAGTGGAGGCAGCTGGAGCCAAAGGTCAGACTAGATGGCCCGGGAGGCCCCTTCTGACTCGCTCTGTTTCTGTGTTCTTTCTCTGCTGTGCTGCAGATGGGCAATGTCAGGCAATCGGTCACATGGCCCTTTTTTCCCTGTGCTTGCTCACTTGCGACCAGTGGCACAGTCCTGCACATGTTCAGACGGAAAAAGCCCTCCAGTTCCCAACATTCTCCAGCCAGCATAGCATGCTGGGAGCTGCATGAGCTCTTCTTGCTTGTACCTGCACAGACTATCATTCTGAGTGAACGTGCCTCTTACAAGCAACCTTCTGGCACCTTTACTGGGGAGACAATCTTGTGCACATTGAGTTGGGAAAAGTCCTACACCTCCCAGCCTTGCTGCAGGCCCCTGTGCGGAAGGGTTGAGTTGCCGACTTGCAGGATGGGCGGGCTTGGATGGCAGAGTCTCCTCCTCTAACCTGGCGCCCTGCATATTTTGCTAGGTCTTCAACTCACAGCAGCCCCTGCTAGTGTGATCAGGAGTTCCCATCCAGAACGCCACCAGCTGTCTCCCAGGGAGCGTTTGGTATTTGCACATGGGAGTGAGATGCCCTCAGCACAGCCCAGTTGAATCCAAGTCTGTTCAAGTGTCCTGCTGACTTGAGCGAAATAGTTGAGCCTGTGTTTAAATCCCCACAGCTGGCTTCTTTGATGCTTCATGTGTTTGACCCATTTGTGCTGGATTTTGCTAACTCTGGGGAAGTCCCTCTGAAATAAAATGAATGCACTTAGGACTGGAAAGCCAGGATCCCTGCAAAACTGTTTTTGTGTGTGAGACTTACTATCCCTGTCTTTGCCCTTCTTGCTTTGTGGGGTAATGGCCAGGAGGCGCCCACAAGAATTACATGGATCTGATCAAAGGATTTCTGCAAGGTAAGGTCACACTTGGGCCCTGCAGTGTAACACCGTACTTTTCCTTTGATGAGTCAGTCCTGCTAGATTTGGTGGCTTCCTCCTGCTTCTCGTGATGTTGGCTTGTACAGTGCTCCCCGATTCTGCTTAGTTGTTCATTTGTGAAAGGCCGTAATGCGGGAACTGTGTGGTGAGCGGTGGTACGGCACGGCCGGGGCTGACGGGATGCCCACTGGACATGCTGTTACTAGCAAGGATGCTTGTGTCATCTGGCACCTCTGCACAGGTCCCCCCTGTCTCTTCTGAGCTTAGCTGCCATCTTCTCTGGAGCCTGGAAAGATTAATTTTCCTAGCAATACCGTGTCACTCTCCATCATTATGCAAAGCATCCTGCAGCGACTTGGTCTGGAAGGGGCAGTGAAGATCCACAAGCCTTTCAGAAGAGGCTTGGTTAAGGGCAGGGAAGGCTGCCTTCTGAAGCCTTTTGTCCTTCTCATCCAGTTGTAGAGTAGTGAGGGTCTCATGTAGGCATCTTTCCCACCACCTGCTGCCTGAATCTTTCGTGGGAGAGACCTCCTCCTTGCAGTTTCACTGAGCTGAGATCCCTGTCCCTGTTTCGAAGTTTGAGGGACGCTGGTGTATGGCACGCTTCATACACCAGCTCCGCTCCCTTGCAGCTTGTGGATGTGGTGTTGGCTTATTGCCTGAGGGTCCATGCAGTTCTCTTTTCTGTGTTCCGCCCCCAACTTCCTCCTCTTCTTGGGAATTTCTTAATGTAGCGGCTCAGCTGTTGACATCAGCTAAGAGCTTGTCGTCATGCTCTAGCATATGAGATCCGCCAAATACTCCCTCTTTTCTGTCCATTTGGCATTTGCATGTGATTCAGCAGGTAGAGGGTTGGAGTCACGTGGAAAACTTGGACTCGCTTTCCAGCTCAGGCTTGAAGCTTGTTTGGTGGCCTTGGCAGATCACCATCTTGTACATCACAGGGATGGCCATGAAGCTGAAACACCCATATGAGATCCGTGGCAAGTGGCTTGCCCACAACATTACTGATAAACTGAGAGAGAGGTGTGGCTTGCCCACTGGAAGGGTTAGATCATGGGCTCTCAAACTACGGCCCACGGGCTGGATCCGGCCCGCCATGCCCATTGATCCGGCCCATCATAGCTCACCACGCGCATGTGTGTGGCAAGGCGCCAGCTTGCTTGCAAGGAGATCGTTTTGGACTCATTGGGAGAAAAGGATCTCTGCGCACGCATGCTCCTGCCTTTCTGCCTGCATGCGCCCCCCTGTCCACACTGCCTTGGTGGCCCACGCCCATCCTTAGCACCTTTCAACTGGCCCCCTATTCAAAAAATTTGAGAGCCCTGGGTTAGATTCTTGGACAAGGCTCACAAAGACAGAAAGAGCAGTAGATCTGCCTGGCTATTGTTGTCTTGGCCCAAAATAGCACATGCAAGTTACCCAGGGTGTCACTGTCATTCTAGTATGGATTGTGCCTTAAATGTGTCCTATGAGGGAGGAACAGGGAAACGTCTTTGCATGGAAGCAAAATGGTTGCTTGGTCAGGAGCTGGCTGAGTCAGTGGCAGCTTATACTCGTGGATTCTCCCCTTCCCTCTTTCCCCTCTTGCATTTCTGACTGCAGTGGCTCAGCAGCTTGTGGATGGGGCACTTCTGGGCTGTGCCTCTTCTTTGCCCAGCCCTTCTTTGTCCATGTTTTGCTAAGGACAAAGATGTGCGCGGGGAGCTGCTTCCATCTGAGCGGGGGTCAGTTGCCTTCACCTTTACTAAATGAACTAAATGATCAACTAGGGAGGTTTCTGCATTTTGCAGCAGAGTTGCTAAAGCTCGTTGAAGAGTCGCTACGAAGATCTGCCCGTGAATGTAGCATGCGGCTGGAAAGAAAGCTGCATTTCTTCAGGACTGTCGCTGTTGAACTCGCATATGCTTGTGTCTTGCCTGCTTTTGCTTTTCCTCTTTGGCTCGTTCTTGGCCGCTCCTACCACCATTCCTCCATTCTGCTATCAAGAATATGGGTGTGTGTTGTGGTGGTGGTGGTGGTGGTTGTTGGAGTGGATGCTCTAATGTCTGCTGTTAACCCACTTCTCAGCCCAGGGACGAACTCGGCCATCCAGACGAATTTCCTTCTCCTTCAGCATCTCTCCGCTCATTCCTAAGTCTAAAACTGTCTTTTCTATTGGCTGTTCTTCCAGTGATGAGGAGGAGGAGTTGGCTAGTAAGTAATCGGTTGGGGCAAAGTGAAGTGGCATTGGGTAGCGCTAGATAGAGAAGCTTGGTGTCGCTCTTGGCTCGCTTTCCTTAATGTGCGCACCAGTCGCTGTACGTTCCATTGCATGCTCTTCTTTCTGCTTCCCAGCTTTACCTGCGTCACAGTAGAAAGACCTCGGCCACTGTGCTGTCTCCCCAGCTCGCAAATGTTGGCACTCCCGAGTATGCTTCTGAGCCACATTTCTATCGGATGGAACAAGCTTTCCTTGTTTCTCATACCTCCATTGCGATGTCATGCGCTGAGGAGGAAGGCAGGTCTGCAGTGGCCGTGAACTGGCGCACAACACTTGATGTCACCCTTGCTGTCTCCCCTTTCACTTTCTTGGCACATAGGAAGTGGGCAGTGAGAGGCATAAGTCTAAACTAGGGCGGGCAGATTGGGTGGGCCTGGCTGCCACTTGTTCTCCCTTACGCATGTGCTTATGTGCACTGCATTCCTGCCAGGATATTACTGGACAACTTTTATGGGAATGCTTCCAGTGCATGTAATTCACAAGTCTCTGGGTTGCATTGGGAGGGGAGGGGGCAGGAAATCAAATCCCCTTTTGAGCAGTTGCCCTCACCAGTGCGCAACTAGAGGCTCTGAAGTTGTTATGGCAAGTAGCAGGCATGCTGTTAATTTCAGAAAGGTGCAGATAATGCATCCCTTGGACCTTTATCACTAGAGTGAACCAGTTTCCATAAGGTGATCTAGGCCGTTTGTTCAAACGATGCCCCCTTTTGTGTTTTAGACCTTGTAGGGTAATCTTGCAGAGGCTATAGAGTGATGTCCAGCCCACGAAATGGACAAGAGTCGTGGAGCTCCTGAGAGCCACTGTGGTCAGATGCTGGCTGCTCCTTGGTCTTGCGCACTGATCTCACAGCCGAGACCCAGAAAAGCCAGTGATGCCTGGCAGCCCTCCCAAGTCCATTTCCCCCAGCACAAAATGTTGGTTGCTTGAATCAGGCTGGAAGGAAGGAAGCCATTTTTGCATTGATTGCCACATCAAGAGAGTCCTCGCAGTGCCCACAGATGACAGCTGCAGTGAAATGTCTGTGGAGACAGTTGTGTCCGCGCCATCTGAAAATGTATGGAAGGCCTGTCTGATCCTCACTGTGCACAGCTTCATTTACAAAAAAGGGTGTGTGTGCACGGAAACCCTATTCAACAATGCTGCACATTTATAGTCAGTTCTAAGAAACGTTTAGTTCAGGGTGAGGGGCCTGTGGTGTTTCAGGTGTTCTTGGACCACGATTCTCACCCTCCCCAACCATTGATGTGCCGGCTTCAAGCCCTACAGTGTCTGGAGCGCTGCAGACTCCGCATGCCCCGCATCCTGTAGCACACCTGACCTATATGTCTGCCAGTAGTAAGCATTGTAATGTTTCACCTTTGTCTTTTCCCAGGTAACAGATCTTTCAGCAGTACCAGCAGTTCACTGAGTCAAAGGTAAGCTGTTTGCAGTTCTCTTAGAAGAAAAGCAGACATTTTGTTGTTGTTTCCTTTTGCAAGCTCTAATTTTAGCCAAAGTCAAAAAATGGGAAGCATCTCCCAATGGAAGCAATCGCAGCTGATTTAATTGCATGAGTTTTAGCCACTAAGTTTAATCATTTGATTAAAACTGCATCACATTGCATGGGGAGAAGGAACTTTGGAGGGAGCAGTGTGTGTCTTTATTTTCCATGGGTGTGTGTTCCACAAGGCATCATGTAAGAAGAGGTATTTCTGTTCCTCCTGCCCGTAGAAAGAAAAACATTTTAAAAGATGGCCCTTGTAGTTTTTAGAAGTACTTGTATTAAAATAGTCTAAAAGAATTAAACATGCTGACAAACTGTGGGGAGAAGGAGGCATACACCACCTTAGTGTGATTTGGTTTAATGTGTGCAGTGGGGGAGGGGGGTTAAATTCATCCAAATGGTGCATCCAGGCGCAGTCTTACTGAGATTAGCCTGAGCCCCCAAACCCAGAGGTTCATCCAGCCCAAAGCAGGGGGAGTGGTGGAGGTTGTCTGTCTCCCTGTCCTCCCATCCTGCATTTTTTGCAGGGGGGGCTTTTGCTTGCCTGGCAGGGATGGATGTTTCAGGGGGACAGGGAAGGAATCTAGAGGGGATACAGGGTGCCTTGTATCCCGACCAGTTCTCCCCACCCCCCCACCCCCCAGTCCCTATTGAAAGTTGCTTTTCCAGGCTTCAGCGAGCAGCCAGTGCAGCTTTATCTGTGCTGGCTGCTGGGCATTGGGGTAGGGGGGCTGCTCCAGAACGGAGTGCCGTCCCCGCACTGCAGCTGTCGAAGGACCATTGGATTGTTCCCTAACATTGCAGGTTGGACATTGCAGGTCTGCAGAAATACTTCCTTAAGAGAATCACCTTGGTTGCCTTCCTGAAACATTCTCTAGTCGAGCTAGCTCATCTTCCAGGAAGTTGTCCTTGCAAGTTTGAACAGCAGAGGTCACTGTGGCTATTCAGTCTGTGTGTGTGCGCACGACAGACAAAAGGGAAGCTTTGCCATCAGGACAGTGCCCTGCTTTGTGGCAGGGCTCTTGCAGCCTTTAGCAGAGACAGACAGGAAGTCATGCAACCAGGGACACTTTCCCCAGCACAAAAGCGTGGTGGTGGCCAGAAGCTTCACCTGCTGAATTTGTCAGCTGTATGCAGTGGAAGGCATAGTGACTGTTGCTGGGGGGAAGAAAGGAACACCCATATCTGCATTCAGTAGTGCACCCAGCTTTCTTTTCTTGTTTTCTCCCGTTCCTGTATCTTTAACTGCATCCCTGACATGCACAAGCGGAGTATGCAAAACTTTCCCTGGTGCAAGGATACAGCCAGGGCAAAACTAACCCCTCTCAATTTCTTCCTGTCAAACCACTGCCCAAAGACGCATGAGCACGGCCAACGAAGACGAGCAGGCACCCGCCCCCAGCTGTTATGTACAAACACTGGCTTTATGGGAAAGCCAGGCAAGCAGAACACATGCCTGAAGCAAAGGTTTTATACTGAGAAAGAAAAAGAGAAGGGGAAAGTGTGTGGGGGAGGAAATTTTCTCTGCTGTTCGGAGCAGGAGAGAGCAAAGGTCTGCATGCTCTCTTAACTTTGTGTGTCTCTTGGCTGCAGCATCTGCGAGGAAAGTGGCAATCTCCTGCCTCCCAGCCCTTCCAGGAAAGACTTGGAAGGCAAAAGCGTAACGAAAGTCAGCCGCACGTTCAGCTACCTCAAGAATAAAATGTCCAGCAGTAAGAAGAGCAAAGTAAGTAGGTCCAGATGTTTGAGGCTTGCCAGACATTGGAGGGTATGGCACTCTGAGCATAGGATGGGGTGTGGAGGCTGGCTTTTATGCTACAGCTGTAGCTGAGATGAGCATGGTGATTACACTGCATTCATGCCTCACCTTTCTTCTGCTTGCAAGGAACTTAAGCCAGCTGACAGAGCCATTATATCCTCACAACAATCCTTGCAACCAGCCCAAAGTCAGTCAGAGGCGGTGGCACTTGCCTCCAAGCTGCTCCCTAATCCTTTTCTGCAAACGTGCCAGGTACTGGGCTTGGGCCCCAGTGCTGCCCCAGTGGGCTGTTGCCCTCCTGAAAAGGTGAGCATGAGAAGATGCCTCATTGCATTAGTCTGGGAAAAACACCATTGTGACAGCAGAGTGGCTTCCTCCATTCCAAGCATATGTCTTCTCTCTGAACTGTGCTCCCTCTCCACTCGGTTCAGGCCGTGAGCATTCCCCACCAGGACTGACTGAATGCAGGGAGATTTTGAAGCAGCTGCACAATCTGGAGGACTCCTTGCACAGACGGAAATAGCATTTTGGGTCGAAGGCCTGGCTCGAACATTTTCTCTCCTAGTTTTGGTTTTCTGTAGGTAGGCAGAGGCGGCAATATACAGGATCATTCAACCATGCTGTCCTCCCCATCTGCAGTCCCGGAGGAGGGTCACCGTTCATCTGCTTCTGTGCAGTAGAAGCTGAAGATTTATAGCAGATCGGGAAGTTTTTCCTGGAATGTAATGCTGGAACAGGGACCATGTTCCATCCATATTTTGTATATCCAGTAGCATGAAGGTGCCTTAACTTGCATGCAGCACTGTCCACGTAAAGCCATTGCTGCAGGGACAATAACCAGTGGAAAACAGCTCTGCCTCCGAGTGCTTCTTTTTCTCCAGGTTCCTTATTCATGCAATACCTGTAATAGACCAACCAAAATACCATGAAAATGTGCAAAGCTTCAAGAGCTCCAGAGCTCTCCATCAGATGTCACCAAAAGGATAGGTTTGGTGGGGTGGGGAGAATGGGGGAGCAGAGAAATCTGAATTAATAGTGAAGTCGCAGTGTCAGCATGTTCAGGCCCCAAGGTGACAGGGTCTGCTGGATTCACAGCAAACTCCATATGTCATGGTTACAGGTTGGATCTGCAGGTGCCCAGAAGAACCAGACAGCAGAAAATGTTGCATTGCCCATTTTGGAAACAGACTCTGAGATGTTTTTGTGCTGGGAGAAGCACATGGGCCCCCCTTTAACAGATATAGTTCTCTTATAGCTCTGAGAATCAAGAATGATGAGTCCCCTGAAGCTACTTAATCTTTTTTTAAAACCCTGGTAGAAAAATATTTGATAAGAATGTGTTAGAAGTCTGGATAAGTGACCTTCACATGATCTTTCCCATGTGTTGCGCCAGTACCTATCTTTCAACAAAACTGCATGATACTGTTAGCAATTAGTCTATAGCTAGAATACTGGAGGCAGGAGACTGTATGACAAGGAGGGCTCTTTTTCCGTGCAGTGGCAAGGTTATGCAAAATTGCAGCTGGAAGCTGTTTAAAGCATCCATGTTCATTGAAGAACCCCCTCACACACACACACACACACACACACACACACCCATCTGCAGAAAGAGCAGCAGCTAGTTTCACAGCAGAGTCTTTGCTGGAAATGTTCTTCCAGTGTTACAGATATCATCTTTAATATAGTTGAACCGAAATAAGCGAGGAACTCATTTTGATAAAGCACATTTAATGCCTGCCTTCTGCCATTCATGCAAATGAGACTGCACACACTTAGCATCATTTACCTTGTCCTTCTTTGCTCTCTAACGTTTAGTGATGGGTGGTGGTTCATATTTTTCCCAAAAGGAAAATTTCCTTGAAAGAAAACAGCAGGCTTGCTTTATTCTGTAGAATAGCTTCTTAATGCAGAGCCACCCAAGAGGAGCTGTGCATCAGTAGCTCTTTTGTTTTTCAGTGCTGTTGCGGAAGAATTTGCTTCAGTTGAGTGATGCTGGGTTTTTTTTTTTGTTTTGTTTTTTGGGTTGTTATTGTTGTTTTTTGGTAAAGATTACACCAGAGCTAGTCAGTTGTGCAAGGGAAGTCAGCTTCCTTTTGTTGGGTGTGTGTTCTCTTATGTGCACAGATTCTGTGAGAGTTCCTCCCATCTAAAGGGCTGGGGTGGAATTGCTTTAGTTTTGTCAAGCCTGGTGCCTTCTATGACTGTGGGGGGTCTTTATCCATTTTAGCTTTTCTTTGGAGATTTATAGGTGTTAACCACGGTGCTCTATCACAGAGAAACTTTTCTGGGGTTGGAGTTGTGGATAGCTCTATAAAGCTCAAAAGAAAAGCTGTTGTGGGTGAGGACCCCCACTGGCAGAGGAGTTCCGAGTTCCCACTGAGTTCCATTGTATGCTTTATTTGCTCCGTTGCATTATTTAGTCTCTGGCCTTCTTTCCATCATGTCTTCTGAGAATTCTCTGAAACTTTTTGAGAACTGAATTTGTTGTACAGAAAGATCCACAAAAATAATATTCAGAGCACAACAAATGATGCTGCTTTTAAAAAAATCCTTACACTTGTTTTGCCAATGCCATGATTTCACAGCCAGTCTTTCACTAGATAATAGTCAGGAATTATGGGCAAGAAGTCAAAAAACAGCTGTCAACATTCCTCTACCATTGCTGTACCAAGCAAATCCTGATCCCTCCCATCTCCACCCCCACAATCCACCTAATCCAAGTAATGTTGTAAAAGATCCACATGCCGTTTAGTTCTCCATATAGAAACAGAGCGAGTCAGAAGGGGCCTCCAAGGCCATCTAGTCTGACCTCTGGCCCCAGCAGGCTCCGCTCACGACATGCCCACCATGTACATGTCTAGCCTATCCTTGAACAAATAGTTTGTCGTCTTTGGATTTGGGGCAAAACTACATTTTTCACAGAGACAATGAGCTGCTGCTGAGATCCATGGCTGTGTGGTGCCGCAACCTTACCTGGATAGAGTTTGTTTAGCTGCAATTGGAAAGCACTCTACCTGGGGCTACTTTTTAAAAAATTAGGGAACTGTAGTAGGTCCCAAACTAGAGCAGCTCTATTTCTGACTGGCTGTGGGCAGTTTGATAATGTGGCACCTGAACTTCGCCAGCTGCGCAGGCACCCAGTCTGAATGGCTGAGTTAACCGTGGGCAGCCATTGACAGCTTGGGTCCAGGCTGAGCCCTCTGCAGCCCAGAGAACCAGCAGATGACTGTGGCACTTCACTTCCCCTCTTCCTTCTATTTTTAAAAACCTTTTGCAGGGTGAATGTGCTGCTGCAGAGTTAATTTCTATAGCTGTGTCCCCTTGTTCCAATTCCAGAGCGGCTCTGCAATCTGTGAGAGTCTGGAAAAGAGCTTGAGGAAGCGAAAATAGCTGTCACTTGTTTCTGGTAGCAGTGAACGTGTACCGCAGAGAGAGGGGTGGGTGGGTGGGTGGGTGATGCGGCCCACTGCTGCCACCCACCACTGGTGCCCTGGTAACGTGAGGTGGGTTAAGCTGGCCCTCCTTCCGTCCTTTTTAAGATACTTCCCACACAGGCTATTGGCTGTGTTGCTGGCATCCTAGCCAACATGCTTGCTTCTGCAGAGGATTTTAAAAGGGAGGAAGAGGGCAATGTTCCGTCACTATCTGCCACCTGGCAAAGGGGTGGCTGGGAGTCAGGAGAATGAACAAGGCAAACAGTAATAGACAGAGAATAGACCTGTTTGTTCTCCCCCTGTTGCCAGCTGGTAGGAAGAGACAAAACAGGTCCCCTTTTCAACGTTTTTCTAAGGTGGGAGTATGAGGGTGTTAGCAAGAAATGAGACCGCATCACACAGGTATCTTGCCCACTCAGTTGCCCATGCCTAGCACTTTCTTCCTTAAGTATCTACCTGAGTGTGCCTGGCACATAAAGTTCAACTGGAGTCTTCCAAGGAAGGCTTTGTTGGGATTGATTCTGCCAGTGAGGGAGCAGCCTTGGTGTGGTACCCTTCCTTTGGTCCCAGGCAAAGACTGTTCTGCTCACTGAGGCCTTTTAAGCAACCCAGTAGTCTGAGCCTCTGTGCTTTTAATTTTGTGATTTCTTTCCCTTTATGTTGTATTTGATTTAGGGATATTCTGTTTTGTTTTTTGTTTGTCTTGCATTTTAAGTTTCTAGAGGAAAAAGAGAATTGCAAATAGAAAATATCTAGTGCATATTACCCCATGTCCTGATGTCATGAATCCATAGTCCAGTCATGGTGGATGTAATCCTCATACAAGGCACTCACTGTGGTGGCAGACTTGGGTTTCTTGTAACATGACATATCCTGGGAAGAGCAAGCTTAGGAATCAGGCTGGGGATCCATGTTTGAGTTTAACTATCCCATATACAAGGTGCTTGTTTGTCTTGTAATTTTTTTCTTAAATTGGAAATGTACGCAGCAAATGTGTATGCATCCCTTTCTCTCTTTTTTCTTTGTCTAAGAGCCAAAAAGACCTGAAAGAGGAAGTGAAACAGGAAGTCTCTTGGTGCCTGCTTTTAATATTGCTGGTAGTTCTACCATCTTAGGGATGCAAATGTTTCTGTTTTGGAAATTTCTCTGTAAAGTGCTGGATACTCCAAGTGATGGTTGCTGATCCTTTGTATCCCTGCTGGTGTAAGATCAGGAAACTGACATTAGCAAGAACACAAGCAAAGCATTTTGTGCTTTCTGCATGACTCTGTCCCTGGCATGCATTCACTTTCTCAGTAACCTTGTTAAGAATCCCAAAGAGTGATAACTCTGACACCTCCAGCAGCAGAAGGGTTAATATATCTTCTTCGAGGAAGAGCTCAAAAAACGGCCTTCCTGCTCTCCTCCCCTCTGCCTTTCTCTTGCTCAACTTGTTTCTGACTTCCTTTCCCCCCAGCCATCCTTTTATGATAGCAGTCTCAGTGGTCAGATAGGTTTCTTTCCTAACATCATGGGTGGATAGGTGCTGGATGC